ACACACAGCGCTAAGGGGAGCAAACATATTAAGAACAGTATGCTATATACGCCAGGTCCCTTGAAACATATGCTGTGCAGATGTTTCTTTCCTGCAGCGACTGTGTCAAGTAGCAAGGATGGACTGGCTTCCGGCACATTGATGTAAGAGAGACACATCAGTCTGCAGGCGAACACTCTATCTACTGAGCCAAACTATCTAGGGCTCTGTCTGTCTTAGTGGGAGGGTATCAATGGCATAATGCTTCTTCAATGATAGAATACAACAAACAAACAAACAAATACTTTTGTTAGTTTTCCAAGCCTGTCATACAAAATGCACTACAAATAGTTGGCTTAAATTTATTCTCACAGTTCTGGAAGTTGGAAATATAACATCAATGATGTTGGCAGGGTTGGTTCCTCTCAGGGCTGTGAGGGAGAAATCTGTTCCATGCCTCTCTGCTACTTTCTGAAAGTTGGCTGGCATTTATTGGCATTCCTTATTATATAGTGGTATGTGTCTCAACAACCCTACCTATTTTAAAAGAATAACGTTGACCTCTGTAAGTCATTTATTTTATTTACACATCTGAAGAAAAGAGTATATTTTTTTAAATTTATTTTTCTTTCTTTTTTTATTTTAATTTTCAATTACAATTGACATTCAATATTATGTTGTGCTAGTTTCAGGTCTACAGCATAGTAGTTAGACCATATACTTTACAAAGTTCCCCTCTCCCCCAATATTTCAAGTTCCCACTTGCACCATACGTAGTTATTACAATATTCCTATTTTCCCCTATGTTGTACTTTTAAATCTTATGACTATTTTGTGACTACCTGTTTGTACTTCTTAATTTAAGGTCAGAGTACAGTTATTTGTCAAAAATATTTACATAAGCCCTAGCCAGTTTGGCTCAGTGGATAGAGTGTTGGCCTGCAGATTGAAGCATCCCTGGTTAGATTCCCGTCAAGGGCACATACCTTGGTTGCAGACTCCATCCCTGCCATTGTTTGGGGCATGTGCAGGAGGAAACCAATCCGTGTGTCTCTCTCACATTGATGCTTCTCTTTCTCTGTCCCTCCCCCTCCCTTCCACTCTCTCTAAGAATCAGTGGGAAAATATCCTAGGTTGAGAATTAACTCCAAAAAGATTTTTAAAAATATCTGTATAAGAAATAAATAGGTCAAAGTGATACCAAAATTATAACTGGCTATAAAATTGTTAGTGATAAAATGTCATTTCTATCCTGGTCTTTGCTGTTTCTGTAGATGTGTCTAGGGAATGAGTTTGAGGGCATAGGAAGGCTCTGTGAGGCACAGGTGTATTAACAGGTGAACACTTTTCAGGTTAATGGGAATAAAGATGAAAGCTGATAAGAAAATGTCTACCAGATGGTCATCTATTGAGAGATGGGGAGCAGGGAGCTTCTGGTTTTATTTATTCATCAAACACTGTGTTCCTATGATACATTGTTCTAGATACTGAGGAAACACCAGCTGACAAAACAATGACCAATCTAATGCATGAATTACTTTTAAAAAAGAAGAGGTAGCCCTAGCTGGTTTGGCTCAGTGGATAGAGAATCAGCCTGCAGACTGAAGAGTCACAGGTTCTATTCTGGTCAAGGGCACATACCAAGGTTTCAGACTTGATCCCCAGTAGGGGACGTGCAGGAGGCAGCCAATCAATGATTCTCTCTCATCATTGATGTTTCTATCTCTCTCTCCCGCTCCCTTCCTCTCTGAAATTAATAAAAATATATTAAAAAAAATAAAAATAAATAAAAAGAAGAGCTGGGCAGTTAAAGAGAGATATTATACATTAGGTAGTTAAAATTAAAAAAAATATATCAAATGCACAGGAAGTGATAGTATTGGCAGTTTTGCTATAGATAAGTTAGATTAGGCCATGCTGATAAGAGGTCATGTGAGGTGAAGACAAAATAAAATGTAAAAAGGAGTCATACTGACATCAGGCAGAAGATCATCCCATCTAGAGACAAGCACATGCAAAATCTCTCAGACAGCATTGGATTTTGTGCTTTTAACATAAAATTTTTTTTATGGGAAAGCCTGGAGAGATTAATCTTAATTACACATGCAAAGTGAAAGAAATCAGACTCAAATGACCATATATTAAAATTCTACTCTTATGCATTGTTCAGTAAAGGTAATTCCACAAAAACACAGGTGAGGTTAATGGTAGCCTAAGGCTCAGGTTCAGAAAGGGTGACTCTAATGGCATTAGGTTTGTTTTTAAGAAATAGATATGTTCTAGAATTGGACTGTGGGGATAGTTATTCTGTTTCATAAATTTATTAGAAATGACTGTACTCGAAAATGAATGCATGTGATGTAAATATAACTCAATACAACTGTTCAAATAAAGTAAATCACACAGAAGAGCAATGTAAAAGCATTGTTCGTGTATATAACATGCTGAATGTGCTTGAGAATAGAAAAGTATAGAAAAGACTAATGATTAAAAAAAATGAAGAAGAAAAGAAAAAGACTAATGATGAGTGACACAAAGCTTTTGGTAAAAAAGGCCTCAATTTGTCCTCTATCCAGTAGAAAAAGAGAAAACAGCAATCACTGCCTGGGAGTAAAATTTGTCATGTGACATACACTAAGAGGAAAGTGTTTGAAATCATTACAAAGGGACCTTTACATTCTGTTACTGACTACTCTTCTCTCTTTCTCTTTTCCTTTCTTTACTGAATATTAATGTTTTGTCCTGTTCTAAATGTCTGCCCAATCAGTATCCTTTCTCTTCCTGCCTTTCTTATCCTGCCCGCTTCAATATTCCCAGCCTTGCAGGAGTCTGTGAACAAGAAGAGCCTCTGGAGCCAGGACAGGAAGAAGCCAGGGGAGCGTTGCAATGGAT